ACCTATTTCCAAGGACGCAGGGTCCCCAAGCCTGGATGGCTGAAGAGGAACACGATCAAAAGCGGATGGAAGAGCAGATCCCTAATGAAGCCTACCTGATGGCTGCCGCCAGACGGAAAGGAAAGAGCTATACTCCCACAATCCTTTTTGGGCTCCTCCCCCACTTCAGCCAATCTCTTTCCGGTGGAAAGCTGCGGCCTCCCAGGGCCTCATGGGACATGTAGTTCCGGCGTCACGCCTGGTGGGCGGAGTTCTGCCGAGTGGCGCGCAGCCGCCCCTATTGTCCCGCCCCCTACTCCGCAGGATTCGAACCCGAGCTGCCTGGGCGTCTCGAAGGGTCAGAGAGTTGGCTGCGAGCCTTCGGCCGGCAAGCGAGCGTCGGCTACGATCCCGCAGCGAGAGGAGGCAAGTTGGGCTCCAGGCTCCAAAGCCGGTGGCCGCGGGTCGCGGTGGAGCCGCTGTCTTCGAGGTCAGAGGAGAGAACAGGTTTGTTTGACGCACCGCGGGCTCTCCCCCTGCGGAGTCTCTGCGGGTTTCTCCAAGCTGCTCTGTCCCTCTCCTGTCCCCGCACGACAGGCGGAGAAATCTGGGCCCCAGTGCTGCGCTGAGACCCCTCAACGCTTCCCCAGCCCCCCAGGGAGGCCTTCACGGAGCCGGGGGCAACGCGGGTGGGGGCGCTCACTGCGTCCCTTTGGCTCCAGTCTGCGTGAAGCTCCCGCAGGCCCCAGCTCCCAGGTATTTTGTCCTAAAAAGGGTCACGGAGTGGGTGGATTGCGGGCGGCTGGGCGCTTTTTCTGCATACGGATTTCGTCCCAAATTTGCTCATATCAGAACCACAGTTTTTCAGAAAAGCAAAATATTTGCCAAGACCTAAATAGGCCTTGGCAGGTGTAAATGTTTTAGGGAAGAAACGCCGAGAAAATGCTGGCATTTTGCGTTGCGTTTTTTAATTGAGAAATAGGTTACTGGCTTATTTTGCTTCTCCAGAATATTTTCATTTTTGATACAGTCATGTGGTTTTAATTTCCTTCCAGATTATGCGTTCAAATGTGGCGAAGGTTTAAGAGAATCGTACCTCTTAGTCGTAGCAGTTTTGATTATCTTTTTTTCCCTACATCATAGTTTTCCGTATTTTTAAATCACAGCCTTACCTTTTTAAGAGTCCCCATCTGGTTCATTGATTGATTCAACAAATATTTATTAAGTGTCTAATACGTGCCAGGCGTAGCTGCTGGGGATACCGCAGCAAACGCAGAAATTTTGGCCTTCTTGGAAACGGGCAACAGGCAGAAGCTAGCTGTGTATTGGGTTTGGTGAAATGCTAAGGAAAAACGCTAAAGGTAGGGAAGTGATGAGGGAGTGTTACGGGGTGGGGGAGTTGCCATTTGGGATGGAATGTCCAGGTGAAGTCTTTTAGAGAAGGCAACATTTAAGATAGGACCTCAAGGATAAGAGTCTGGGAGTAAGAGTCGGGGACTGATTCAGGCAGAGGGAAAAGTGCCAAGACTGGAGCATGCAGATTAATAGAGGAACAGCAGGGAAGCTGTGTCGCGGGAAAACACAGTAGGGGAAAGTGGGAAATGACGTCAGAGCGGTGAAGTTTTTTGCATGGACTTTGGATTTCATTGGAAGATTTTGAGCAGAAGGATGACCTCATATGGCTTACATTTTTAAAAGGTAACTTGGATTGCTCCTTTTGATGCTGAAAGGAAAGAGAAAACAATGGAAGCAGAGAAACTGCTTAGGAGATTGTTAGTCTTCCATTGCTGCTGTAACAAATTGCAGAAACTTTGTTGGTTCATAACAACACAGATTTATCGTCTGTAAGTCTGTAGATCAGACTAGGTCTGTAAATCTTACTAGGCGAAAATCAAGGTATCAGTAGGGCTCTGTTCCTTCTGGAAGTCCTAGGGGAGAATACATTTATTTCCTTGGCTTTCCCACCTTATGAAGCCTGCCTGAATTCCTTGACTCCTGACCGCTTCTTTCATCTTCACAGCCAGCAGAAGAGCATCTTCAAATCACACCCTCTGCCCTCTCCAGCACTCCTGTGTCTCTCTTGTAAAGACACTTGTGATTACAGTGGGCACACCTGGATAATTCAGAATAATGTCTTCATTTGGAAGTTCTTAATCACACCTGTGAAATTCTTGCACGAGTATGTAAAGTAACGTATTCACAGGTTTGGGCGATTATGAAGTCTTTGAGAGACCAGGTGAGAGAACGTGGTGCCTCACTGGGCCCACGTCAGTAGTGATAAAAATGGTAAGCAGTGCAGCCCTGTATGTATTTCAGAGGTGAGAATGACAGACTAAAAAGTTGAATGAGCTACTCTAGGCACACTGCCTATGAGGGTAGTCCTGCAAAATAAAATATAATGAAAAATAAAGTTGGATGGATCATTCGGAAAAACGATTCTAGCAGTGTGAATAATCATTGCTGATTTATCAATCAGGCTTGCAGTTTTGTTTCTCAATTTGTAGTTGCTCAGTTAGCAGTTTTACAAGATTTGGATTTGGGTTTCCAATGGATTTTGAGATTCCAGAGGACAAGGGATGATTTCCGTTTTTGCCCCCTAGTTTGCCCCGATGCCTGGCATGATGGTAGGCCCTCAGTAAATGTTTGGTAAGTGAAAGAATGGTAAGCTAGAATCTGCGTATTACATGTTATTTTGTGCAATATTGTGTGCAAAACCTGTTGAATATATGGATAAGTAAAAGTATTCCACTCCATATATAAAGTTGACATAAGCAAGTACACAGTGTAGGTGGCTTCCCCATGTGACAGTGTTTTTAGAGATGTGTAACATCTCTCCTATGATGTTAACAGTGTTTTGGTATTATGTTTTTCTGGTTGCATCAGAAAGTTGTGTTTTACTTATAAAAATAGAATGACGTACTTACACAGAGGAACAGAAGCACTAACAGTTTTGGGGAGCTGTTTCTGATGGCTCTTCAAAGAGGATGTTGACAAAGCATTTCACAGGAATGGTTGAGGCCACATATTCTGTGGTGTTTTTTTTTTTTTTTGGCCTCAAGTTGGAGAGAGGAAATTGTATTTATTGTCTAGCAATGTTGTTGATTGACCTGGAAAGTAAAGCAATATGTATTTAAGACTACACTGGTTCTTGCCTATTAAGCATATTCTCTTAGTAATTTACATCAGATGAGGTTTAATAGGTCACAGGTGGAATTTTTTGCCTAGTTTCTTAGGGTAGGGATGTGGCAAGTAGCTGTAACTACTGCTTTTTGTGTTCACCTCAGTGTGGATGTATTCTATGGACAAGCAATTTCTAATATCATAGTATCACAGTGTTGAAAGAAGTCGAAAGGTCATGCATGTACTGCAGAACCTTTCAAATTCTTGAAACCTAGATTTAATTAAGAGGCTTGGTTACCCCAGGATCGGTTCATGCGATTCAGTACCCATTCAGGGCACTGCAGACGACCACCTTTTTATATTTCTCAGGAAGTGGTGTACATTTATTGTGTTTGGGAATTAGGAAATAATTGTAAGTGCTTAAAGAGCCACACTTTTAGTAGTTTTTATTTGAAAATGTGAAAATAAGCATGAGAACCGCTTATTTGTAATGTGAGCTCCTGCCATAGTTACATATACAGAAAATAAAGCATTTTTATGTATGTGTCATTCCAAATGTTTATTATTTTTTAAAGAATTCTTACTTTGTAATTGATGGTAGCAAGTCACTAATCTGCTTTATGTAGTATTGTTTCCTATTTGGAAGGCAACCAGGAACCTAGAATATTTCAGCCATGCTTTGATTAATCACACTTAGCTTTTCATCTTTGTTTTCTTTTTGATAGTGTAAAATATTTAATGAAGCCTGTCTCTTCCCTTTCTTTCCAAAAAATTATTAAAATCCTTAGCTAGTGTTTTGAGCTGCCTTTATTCAGTTACTTTTACTATTTGCTCATGATGAAGACTTCTTTGGTAATATCAAAATGAACTCCCCAATTTATTAATATACACACACAATACAAAACAATATTTAATTTTTAGCAAGCCTTGTCTGTTAATCCTATTATCAACCAGTGAACAAAGTGCAATTGTAGTGTACTACTTTTATAGCAGATATAGTAAAATTACTTTCAAAAGGTACTTTAGAAAACTTAATTTCTGAATTTCTCAGGTTTCTGTTGGTGTCAGATTTTTCCAGTTTGCTATAGGCCCCGGCACTCATATTTGCCCCTTTTTTACAGAGGGTCTGTTGCTGTGAATCACTGGGTGTTTTTTTCCTTATAGCTGCCTGTTTCACTCAGCTACAGTCTGTTGCTGACCTTTTGAGTTTATATATATATATAAATTCAAAGAGACAGAGTCCTGATGTGGTGCCCAGGCCAGTCTCGAGCTCCTGGCTCCAGCAGTCCACCCACCTTGGCCTTCCAAAGTGTAGAGATTACAGACGTGAGCCACTGCACCCAGCCTCTTTTGAGTGTTTTGAAGATTGGCATAATGTGTGGATTAAGGTGCATTTTTTTCAGTTGAGCAGGAAAGGGAGAGTAGTAAAAATTGATATTTAGAAATTCCACTGAGGGTAAGATATTTTCAGAGAAATAGAAATAACAATAGAAAAATTAGGATTTAGATTCCACAGCAGCCTTTTCTGACAGAATCGTGCTGTGCTGTCATTTTTCCCACACTCTAGGAGATTTATTTCTTCTTCAGACTCTTCTCATGTGCCTACATGGCAGTTTCCTTTACATTTTAACTATTATTTAAAAAAAAAATCGTTTTAAGGAAAGATTCAGTGGTATCATAACTTACAAAGAAATCACAGTAGGCAGAGAAGAGAGTCCTTTGATAAATGAAGTGACATTAAATTAATCATAAATTCACAGGTATCTGTAGAAAACCTTTTAAAATAGGCTGCTGTTGCAGACATAGGAAATATCATACCATAGATGAGCAATGTCACGTAATGCTCTGCACTTACAAATAAAGGCTGAGAATTTTTCTATTGCAGTTAGGTTGAAAATATATAAAGAAAAGAAAGTCCCCTAAGAGAAGTGATTCTCATGGAAGCCAGTGGTAAAAATATTCTTGGAAGATTTAGAATCTGAAGTATGCCACACAGGAAAAAATGGTTGTATCACGTAAGTGAAGGCTAGTTGTCTGTTGGTAAAGTGCAGTGTACTACTTTGAAAATAAATATTGTGTTTTACTGTGCTTCAAAATGGCAGTGTGAAATTTTTTGTATGAGATTAGTGTGGTAGGTGATTTGGGTCATTAAAAAATTACAGACAGAAAATACAGTAGAGAAGACTTGAGGAAATTTATTTGTGGCGTAATGTTTCCAGTGTTGGTAAAAAAAAAAAAAAAAAAACACCCAAAACCAACCAGTGTTACTGTGTAACACAGATGCATGCAAATGTAACTATTAGACTATCACCATTAAGATGTATTCTGCACTTTGAGAGGCTGAGGCAGGCGGATCACTTGAGGTTAGGAGTTTGAGACCAGCCTGGCCAACGTGGTGAAACCCCGTCTCTACTAAAAATACAAGTCTTAGCCAGGTATGGTGGTATGCATCTGTAATCCCAGCTACTTGGGAGGCTGAAACAGGAGAATTGCTCGAACTCGGGAGTTGGAGGTTGTAGTAAGCCAAGACTGCGCCACTGCACTCCAGCCTAGACAACCAAATATATATATATATATATATATATATATGTATATAAAATATATATACAATATATATGTAATATATATTTTTTTCTATAGCTGATGTGGTGAGCAGAGGAGGATCTCTTGAACCCAAGAGTTGTAGGTGGTAGTGTATTGTAATTATACCTGTAAATAGCCTCCAGCCTGGGCAACATAGCCAGACCCCATCTCTAAAAAAAAAATGTGTGTGCTGTGTTGGGTTTTTGTTCTCACAGTCCAGTGAGCACATGAGTGCAGAAAGATACCCAGCATTCCTTTTGTCAGAATGCTTATTTAAAACTTTTTTTTTTTTTCTTGAGATGGAGTTTCATTGTTGCCCAGGCTGGAGTGCAGTGGTACCATCTCAGCTCACTGCAACCTCCGCCTCCCAGGTTCAAGTGATCCTCCTGAATAGTTAGGATTATTACAGGCGCCAAACACCACACTAGCTAATGTCTTGTACTTTTAGTAGAGACAGGGTTTCACCATGTTGGCCAGGCTGGTCTTAAACTCCTGACCTCAAATTATCTGCCCACCTCAGCCTCCCAAAGTGCTGGGATTACAGCCGTGAGCCACCACACTGGGCCATGAACTTTATTGTTAGAGTTCTTTTTTTAATTACATTTTATTTTTTATTTTGAGATGGAGTTTCATTTTCATTCCTCAAGTTAGAGTGCAGTGGCATGATCTCAGCTCACTGCAACCTCCACCTCCCAGTTCAAGCGATTCTCTTGCCTCAGCCTCCCGAGTAGCTGAGATTAGAGGTGCCTGCCACTACACCTGGCTATTTTTTGTATTTTTAGTAGGACGGGGTTTCATCACGCTGGCCAGGCTGGTCTCAAACTTCTGGCCACAGTGAGCCACCCACCTTGGCCTCCCAAAGTGCTGAGATTACATGCGTGAGCCACCATGCCTAGCGTTAGAGTTGTTTTTGACTGCAAGGAGTTATGGTGTCCCTTTTAGCCTGGTTTATAACATGTTCATTTCTAAATAAGTAGAAAATTGGGGGAAATAAGGAGGTAGTGGGAGATGGCAAACAGGAATGTAGAAATTTGAATTCTTTGTCAAATTATTCTGTTGTATTTAACGATCCTTTTTACTTTCTGCCTTGACTTCTGGTACCTTGCGTTCTGGAAAGCAGCCTTGAGGAAAATTGAAGGAAATGTTGCCTAACCTTGTTCTTTCTTAGTTATAAGTTGAGAGGCTAGGAGAGATTAATTTTCCTTTTCTTTCCAGTTTCAAGTGCATGGGCAATTTTTCTAGCATTGTCTGTTCTTCCTCAAAAAGAAGTGTGACTAAGAAAGCCCACGTGACAACCAGGTGCAGTAGATCATGTCTGTGATCACAGCACATTGGGAGGCCAAGGCAGGTGGATCACTTGAGGTCAGGGGTGAGACCATCCTGGCCAACAAAGTGAAACACCATCGCCGCTAAAAATATAAAAATTTAGCCGGGCATAGTGGCGGGTGCCTGTAATCCCAGCTACCTGGGAGACTGAGGCAGGAGAATTGCTTGCACTCTGGAAGTGGAGGTTGCGGTGAGCTGAGATCTTGCAACTGCACTTCAGCCTGAGTGACAGAGCTAGACTCTGTCTCAAAAAAAAAAAGCCCATGTGACTACCAAAATCCAGTTTCTTCCTCTCCTGAGAAAAGACTGACATAAACTAATTAATGTTTGTTTAAAACATCATGCCCATTCTCTAAAAATTTTATCTTCAACCCTCCTTAAATTTTTACTTAAATGTTTATTTTTCCAGGTAAACATTGAGTAGGCAGTCTCTTTCAAGGATTTAAGAGTCTGTTGGATTCCTATAGGCTTAATCAGTATTGAAATATTCTTAATATAAGATGTATTTATTCTTTTTGAACAAAGATGTATTCATATCCATGTAATCTTTTTTTTTTTTGACAGTGTTTTGCTCTTTCATCCAGGCTGGAGTGAAGTGCAATCTCAGCTCACTGCAACCTCCACCTCCTGGGTTCAAGCAATTCTTCTGCCTCAGCTTACTGAGGAGCTGGGATTACAGGCTCATGCCACCACGCCCAGCTAATTTTTATATTTTTAGTAGAGATGGGGTTTCACCATGTTGGCCAGGCTGGTCCCGAACTCTTGACCTCAGATGATCCACCTGCCTGGCCTCCCAAAATTCTGGGATTGCAGGTGTGAGTTTACCCGGCCTGTATTCTTACATTTATCTACATTGTCTCTGTGAGATACATAAGAAACTGATAATGCTTATTGCTCTGAGGGAGCAAATGGGAGACTGGGGAATGGGATTTCGAAGGCTGTACGTTATTCTATATCTCCTTTTCTATATTTGAAAATTTTCTCTGTGCATGTGTTACATATTAAATTGAAATATTGAAAGAAAAGGAACAGGTTGATTTCAACAGTATGCAATTTCTGTTCTCTCCACAGTGATATCCTGAGAGAAGATGGGAAAGGGCTGCAAGGTTGTGGTTTGTGGATTGTTATCTGTGGGGAAAACTGCAATTTTGGAGCAGCTCCTTTATGGAAACCATACTATCGGTAAGATTGTGTTCCTCCAGTTTGTCTCTAAGTCCTGGGAGCTGTCAGAGGTCTTTTGTTGGTCATGGTATACTAAAAATGGTCGATGGCACAAAAAAGGGGAGGTATAATCCAGAGGGACCAAAAGATATTAAGAGGGAAGAAAAGAGGAGGGAAAAAGTCTTGATATTATTGAAATTCAAGAGTGCCTGCTGTAAGTTATGACAGGTAAGAAAAGAAATGGTCCGTGGCTGGGGTAAAAGGCAGAAGAACATGTAAATAAAAAAAGAAAAGAAATGGCCAGTATGGGTATATATTCCTTTGTATGTATGTGGTTTTCTGTGTATTTACACAATGAATGGTGGTGTACGAATCATAGAATCACTGATTTAAGAAAACATGACTTTCCACTGGGCATGGTAGCTCAGGCCTGTAATCCCAGCACTTTGGGAGGCCTTGGCAGGCGGATCACCTGAGGTCAGGAGTTCAAGACCAGCCTGGCCAACATGGTGAAACCCCATCTCTACTAAAAATACGAACATTAGCCAGGCATGGTAGCAGGTGCCTATAATTCTGCTACTTGGGAGGCTGAGGCAAGAGAATTGCTTGAACCCGGAAGGCTGAGGTTGCAGAGAGCCAAGATGGTGTCACTGCACTCCAGCCTGGGCTACAGAGTGAGACTCCGTCTCCAATTTAAAAAAAGAAAATTGTAGCCTGGGCACGGTGGCTCACGCCTGTAATCCTAACACTTTGGGAGGTGGAGACTGGTGGATCACGAGGTCAAGAGATCGAGACCATCCTGGCCGACATGGTGAAACCCTGTCTCTGCTAAAAATATGAAAAATTAGCCAGGCATGGTGGTGCGTGCTTGTAGTCCCAGCTACTTGGGAGGCTGAGGCAGGAGAATCACTTGAACCTGGGAGGCGGAGGTAGCAGTGAGCCAAGATCACACCATTGTACTCCAGCCTGGGTGACAGAGTGAGACTCCATCTCAAGAACATGACTCCCCAGTGCTGCTGTATGTAGGCTTTTAAAAATAGAAGAAACAGCCATTTGGTGAGTATGACTTAATTTTGTGAATTGGGCTAGCTCATTCATTTATTCATTCACTGAGTCAAATAATTGTTAGTTAATATTTGCTATATGATTCTTGTGATCAGGCCTTGGGTTACAGAGGTGAGACAGCATCTCTGGAGGTCATGGTTCAGTAAGGAAGATAGGTATTTCCAGTTAGAAGGAGATGACATTTGTGTTAGATAAGTAAATAGAGATCGTCAAAGCATTTATTTCTGGCAAATAACTTAAAGCACGTTTCTGTTTTCCTGAGATAGAGTCTTACTCTGTCTCAGGCTTGAGTGCAGTGGTGCAGTCTCAGCTCACTGCAACCTCTGCCTCCCATATTCAACTGATTCTCCTGCCTCAGCCTCCTGAGTAGCTGGGACTACAGGTGTGTGCCACCGTGCCTGGCCAATTACTTTTTGAACTTTTATTTTTTTAGTAGAGAGGGAGTTTCACCATGTTGGCCAGGCTGGTCTTGAACTCCTGCCCTCAAGTGATCCGCCTGCCTCAGCTTCCCAAAGTGCTGGAATTAGAGGCATAACCCACCACCCCGGCCCACATTTGTTTTTCGTTAACCATTTTGATCAGCTCTGCTTCTCTTTTAGCTTTTTAAAGTAATATTTAATGATTGTGGTTAAATTTATATTTAGTGTTTATTATAATACCTATGTCAGTAGTTCACAGATTTTTTGGTTTCAGAATCCTTTTGCTCTGTGAAAACTTACTGAGGACCCCAAACAGTTTTTGTTTATGTGGGCCGTATCTTTCAACATTTACCGTATTAGAAATTAAAACTGTGGCCAGGTGTGGTAGTTCACACTTTTTTTTTTTGAGATGGAGCTTCGCTCTGTAGCCCACACTGGAGTGCAGTGGTGCGATCTCAGCTCACTGCCACCTTTGCCTCCCAGGTCCCGGTTTAAACAGTTCTCCTACCTCAGCCTCCCAAGCAGCTGGGATTACAGGCATGAGCCACCATGCCCAGCTAATTTTTGTATTTTTTAGTAGAGGAGGGGTTTCTCCATGTTGGCCAGTCAGGTCATGACCTCCTGACCTTGTAATCCGCCTGCCTCAGCCTCCCACGGTGCTAGGATTACAGGCATGAGCCACTGCGCCTGGCCAGTAGCTCACACTTTGGTAATCTCAGCAGTTTGGGAGACTGAGGTGGGAAGATCACTTGGGCTCAGGAGTTTGAGACTAGTCTGAGACCTCATTTCCACGAAAAACAAAAACAAAACAACCCAAAAGACAGAAATTAGCCAGGTGGGCATGGTGGCATGTGCCTGTGGTCCCAGTTACTTGAAATGCTGGGGTGGAGAATCACATGGGAGGTTGAGGCTGCAGTGAGCCATGATCATACCACCGCACTCCAGCTTAGACTCCTTGTCTCAAAAAAGAAAAAAAAAGGAAAATGGAGACATTTGTAAACTACTTATTTTTTTCCTAAATGATGCTAATAAACTCATATTCTAAAATAACTTTATGAAAAAAATTATATTTTCAAAATAGTGAGAAGGCTAGCATTGATTTACTTTTTTTTTTTTTGAGACACAGTCTCACTCTGTTGCCCAGGCTGGAGTGCAGTGGTGTCATCTCAGCTCACTGCAACCTCCGCCTCTGGGTTCAAGCAGTTGTCCTGCCTCAGCCTGCTGAGTAGCTGGGACTACAGGTGCATGCCACTATGCCCTGCTAATTTTTTTTTGTATTTCACTAGAGGTGGTGTTTCACCGTATTGTCTAGGCTGGTCTCGAACTCCTGAGCTCAGACAATCTGCCCACTTTGGCCTCCCAAAGTGCTGAAATTATAGGCGTGAGCCACTGCGCCTAGCCATTGCTTTACTTTTTAGAAAATCCTTCTGATGTCCAACTTAATAGAAGGCAATTATCATGTCTATTAATACTTGCCTTTGTAATCTTTTGTGATGTGCTGTTTCAGTTGAAATATACGAAGAAGGCCAGGAGTGGTGGCTCACATCTGTAATCTCAGCACTTTAGGAGGCTGAGGCAGGCAGATCACCTGAGGTTGGGAGTTCGAGACCAGCCTGACCAACATGGAGAAACTCCGTCTCTACTAAAAATACAAAAAAATTAGCTGGGCGTGGTGGTGCGTGCCTGTAATCTCACCTATTCAGGAGGCTGAGACAGGAGAATTACTTGAACCTGGGAGGCAGAGTCTGCAGTGAGCTGAAATCGAGCCATATGATTCCAGCCTGGGCAACAAGAGCAAAACTCTGTCTCAAAAAAAAAAGAAATATATGAAGAAAATCTAGCCTCACACAGATGTGTAGTTGGAAAAGGTAGGAGGAATACTTTAATAGCCTTTTCAGTTAATTATGAATATTTTTCTTTGGTATTTCACTAAAATTCAACAAGTGATGGTTATTTAAAAGTTATTTCAGTGTAGAATCTGTAATCATATTCGTGAACGTTTGGTACTCTGCTACATTAAAATCTCATTGATTGATCCTGCACTTTAAATGGGTCTTTTACCCAAGTGTAGTTTTTTAGCTTCATGAATTGGTCATTTGGAAAGTTTTGGTCTTCCATATCACTTTTGTTAATATCACTACCAATTTCATCAGTATTGGGAAGCTATCAAGTTCATGATGATGGATACAATTCTCATTTTTGCTTGAAAGCTCAAATTTTATTGACAACAAATACTGATACCATAGTTATTTTCCTTGAAATGATACAGACTTCCTTTATTTTTGAGAAAATGTTTGTCAAATATCATAAATACATAGTTTTTCTGTCATTCCTTCTTTTTAAAAATGACAGCTAGTTCAGCTTGCAATTCAAAACACACAAGAGATTTTCCTCGAGACAGTTACCATAATTGTATACAGAAATGCTTTATGCATAGTTCCCATTTAATCCCATAGAATATTGAAAAGATACATACTCAGGGCTTGAGATTTAATAAAATTAGTCATTTTTGTTGCTTCATTAAGGACATTCTTAAGTAAAACTGGCTATTTCTTTTTTAACCACAAGCACAAGACGGTGAAGAATCTAATGGCAACTATGTCCTTAGTACCATTGACTTGATTTGCTCTAAGGTATGGGCAGTTTTACCCGCCATTGCTTTTGCACCATCAGTACAAATGTCAACACAGTGGAAAAGACAGATGCCTTAGTATTATTATCAATATAGTTTTGCCCATGTGGATCCCTGAAAAGAGACCTCACAAGATCTCAGACCAAGTTGGAGAGCTGCTGGCATATGTAAATACAGTACAGTTGACCCTTAAACAGTGCAGGGGTAAGAGGTACTAACACCTCCCCCAGTCAGTTGAAAATCTGCATACAATTTTTGACTCCCTAGAAATTTACTAACAGTTTACTGTTGACCAAAAGCCTTAAAGCTGATAACAGAAATAGTTGATTACCATGTTTTTGTATGCTGTGGGTATTATATACTGTACTCTTAAAGTAAGAGATAAAATGTTATTAAAATCATAAGAAGCTGGGTGAGGTGGCTCATGCCTATAATCCCAGCACTATGGGAGGCTGAAGTGGGTGGAACACTTGAAGTCAGGAGTTCAAGACCAGCCTGGCCAACATGGTGAAACCCTGTCTCTACTAAAAATAAAAAAATTAGCTGGGTATCGTGGCACATGCCTGTAATTCCAGCTCCTTGTGAGGCTGAGACAGGAGAATCGCTTGAACCCAGGAGGTGGAGGTTGTAGTGAGCTGAGATTGTACCACTGCAGTCTAGCCTGGGTGACAAAGCAAGACTCGCTCTCAAAAACAAACAAACAAAAAACACATGAGAGAAAATCTATGTACTATTCAGTAACTGGAAGTGGTGCATCGTAAAGGTCTTCATCCTCATGGTTTTTATGTTGAGTAGACTAAGGAGGAGGAGGAGAAGGATTAGTCTTGCTGCTTCAGGGGTGGCAGAGGAGGAAGAACATCCCCATATGATGTGAAGTTCAAACCTCTGTTAAGGGTCAGCTGTGTTCTCAGCTGAGCAGTATAGTATACTACGACTTTTTTTGTTTTGTTTTGTTTTGTTTTCATGGAGGCTCATATTTACTTTGTCATTTCCTTAGTTTTATTTATACGTTTTGCTAATTCTATTTTTTTCTTGGCTAGGTTCTTCAAGGAGCTCTGTGTTCTCTTACCTACCGTGCCACCATCATCATAGAACCTCCCCTTGTTTCCTCCCTGTTTTTGTTGTTGTTGTTGACATGGAGTCTCGCTCTGTCACCCAGGCTGGAGTGCAGTGGTGTGATCTCAGCTCACTGCAACCTCTGCCTCCCAGGTTCAAGCGATTCTCCTGCCTCAGCCTCCCGAGTAGCTGGGATTACAGGCATGCGCCACCACTCCCAGCTAATTTTTGTATTTTTAGTAGAAATGGGTTTCACCATGTCCAGGCTGGTCTTGACCTCCTGGCCTCAGGCAATCTGCCCACCTCGGCCTCCCAAAGTGCTGAGATTACGGGTGTGAGCCACTGCTCCTAGACTCTCCCTGGTTTTGATTTCCTGTTTCCTCCATCTCTTGTCACCTTCTTATGGTTTATACCTTGTTTTTTTTCTTGTTGGAGCACATTTTCTAGTACTTTTCTGGAGTTGAATAGGTTGTAGAGTGGAGCAGAACATCCATTGATGATGGCCTTCAAAATGCCCACTGCCTGGCACATAGTTGTGACCCTGGGGTTTCTGAATCAAGATATTTACTCATTGTGCTTGGGATTTCCTTTACTTCATATCTGTGTTAGGTTCTGTTTCTTCCTCTTTCTATGGTTACATGTTAATTTTTTTTTTTTTTTTTGAGACAGAGTCTCACTCAGTCGCTTGGTCCAGAGTGCAGTGGCGTGATCTTGGCTCACTGCAACCTCTGCCTCCCAGATTCAAGTGATTTCCCTGCCTCAGCCTCCCGAGTAGCTGGGACTACAGACGCCCGCCACTACGCCCAGCTAATTTTTTGCATTTGTAGTAGAGATGGGGTTTCACCGTGTTGGCCAGACTGGTCTCGAACTCCTGACCTCAGGTAATCCGCTCACTTTGGCCTCCCAAAGTGCTGGGATTACAGGTGTGAGCCACTGTACCCAGCCCGATTACATGTTAATTTTTATGGAGGGTCTCCTCAAATACTTTTCTGAAAAAATATACATGATACATGTTTTGAGGCTTTGCATGTTTGAAACTGTCTTTATTTTACACTAACGTTTGAATTGTAATTGTGATGGGTTTAGAGCTCCAGGTCAAAAATAATAGCCTTTCAGAATTTTGAAAGCATTGCATGTATGGTTTAATCAATAATTATAAGACAAACCTTGACAAAATCTCCACATGGATCAAGAAGTACAGCGTTGAGGACACGCCAGTGGCTCCCTGCGTTCCTCTTCAGTGGCAGCTCAGTCCTTCCCTTGACTTGGTTCATCATTCTCTTTATCTTTAATTGCCACATATGTATGTATCACTAAATGGTAGAGTTTATTTTTGCCTTATGGATTTTATATGAATTAAACTCATCCACGTCTGGCTTCTTTCACTCAACATTATATTTGTAAGCCACATCAGGCCAGGCATGGTGGCTGACCACTGGAATCCTAACACTTTTGGAGGCTGAAGTGGGAAGATCACTTGAGCCCAAAAGTTTGAGACCAGCCTGGGAAGCATCAGGAGACCCCATCTCTAGGCAAAAAAAAAAAAAAAAAATTCAGATTCATCCATTTTGCTGTAGCTGTGGTTGTTTACTTTTCATTGCTGTACCATTCTGTTGTATAAAGCTACCACTGTCTCTTCTGTCTCGATGAAGAGATAGTTCATGATGATGAACATTTGGGTTATTTCCAGTTTGGAGCTGTTGGAAATAATGCTACTCTGGAACATTGTTGTACATGTATCCTGGCTATTACATGATAAATTCTGGGATGCATATCTAGGAAGGAAATTGCTGAGTCACAGAAGGTGTGTCTCTAACTTTACCAGCTTCCATTGTCTTCTTCTAGTGCTACTTTTGGGAATCTGGGAGCCATTATGATTCTCAATGCTTTGTTTGTGGAAGCTTTTCTAGGCTCTGTTCTTTGCTCCCAGTTGCTATGGTTTGAAGGATAGTGTCCCTTCCAAACTTCACATTGAAACTTAATCCTCATTGCAACAGTATTAAGCGGTGTGGCCTATAAGAGGTGATTAAGTCATGAGGGTTCCACTCTTCACCTTCTGAGGACTAATCCCTCATGAAAGATTGGCATCCTTATACCAGGGCTTGAGGTTGAAGGGAGTGCTCTCTTGCCCTCTGTCTCTCCTGCCACACAGCATTTGACCCCTCCCAAGGATGCAGCAACAAGGCTCCATCTTGCAGTGGAGACTGGGCTGTAACAAGACACCAGACCTACCGGTACCTTGATCTTGGACTTCTAGCCTCCAGAACTGTGAGAGAGAAATTTTCCGTTTATAAGTTACCCAATCTGTGGTATTTTGTTATAGAAGCACAAATAAACTAAGACACCAGTGTTCTGAAATTTCAATGATGTGTCATATAATCGATCTTTTTTTTTTTTTAAATTTTTATTTTTAAATGATGGAGTTTACTCTGCTGCCCAGGTTGGAGTACGGTGGCACAATCTCAGCTCACTGCAACATCCGCCTCCTGGGTCCAGGCAGTTCTCCCACCCCAGCCTCCTGAGTAGCTACGATTACAGGTGTGTGTCAACATGCCCAGCTAATTTTTGCGTTTTTAGTAGAGATGTGGTTTCACTCTGTTGCCCAGGATGGTCTCAAACTCCTGACCTCGGGTGATCTGCCTGCCTTGGCCCCCCAAAGTGCTGGTATTACAGGCGTGAGCCACCATGCCTGTCCAATCTGTTTTCACTTACTGTAGTGGACACTTAAAGGGCCCCTTCTACATGGAAATGCGTATTCTTCAGTTTTGAATTATTATGTTGTTGTTTTCTTTCCTCTGTGTTCTCTGCTCTTTTTGTCTGGAACTCTCTTTTTGGATGCTGGACCTTCTGGACTAGTCCTTGAATTTTCTGTTCGTAGTTAAAAATGAACACCTAGGCCCAGTGCGTTGGCTCACACCTGTAATCCTAGCACTTTGGGAGGCCGAGGCAGGCAGATACCTTGAGCTCACAAGTTTGAGACCAGCCTGGGATGGTGAAACCCCTCTGTACAAAAAAATACAAGAATTAGTAGGGCTTGGTGGTATGCACCTGTAGTCCCACCTACTTGGGGGACTGAGGTGGGAGCATCACTTGACTCCAGGAAGTCGAGGCTGCAGTGAGCTGAGATTGTCCCACTGAACTGCAACCTAAATGACAAATGAGACCCTGTCTCAAAAATAAATAATGAAGACTTAAAGAGCCAATTGGAGGCCGGGTGCGGTGGCTCACGCCTGTAATCCCAGCACTTTGGAGGCCGAGGTGGGCGGATCACGAGGTCAAGAGATTGAGACCATCCTGGCCAACATGGTGAAACTCCATCTCTACTAAAAATACAAAAATTAGCCAGGCGTGGTGGCATGCGCCTGTGGTCTCAGCTATTCGGGACGCTGAGGTGAAAGAATAGCTTGAACCCAGGAGGCGGAGGTTGCAGTGAGCCGAGATTGTGCTACTGCACTCCAGCCAGGCGACAGAGCAAGACTCCGTCTCAAGGGGAAAAAAAAAAGCCAATTGGAAGGTCTAAGCATCTAGGGTTCATGACTTGGAGCTCCGCTAAGGTGATCTGGCGGGGGCATTTGCTGGGGAACCCTAGATGTCAGTATATTTAGGATTGTTTCCTTTTCCATTGGCCAGATTCTCCAGATTCCCCTGGATGGGAATAAAGACCTGGCTGCCAGTGTTTTGGGAGCAGAAAGGGAGAGCCGGAGGACTTCAGCATTCAGTATGTGTGTGTGCAGGAATGTCACTTAATTGCCCCGTTTTCACTGTGGAACTCATACCCCTTATCCCACAGTCCATATAACCTCTATTTAACCGTCTCCAGAGATTGCACCCTTAAGCCTTCCCTTGGTGTGCGAGATGGGTAGTTGTCCAGCAACATGGAGTGGGAGGAGAACTAGAGAACTGGTGGAAGACTCATGACTTCATTTGATCTTTAGAGGACCAAAATGTCAAAAGGTCTGAGCTTTAGACCCCCTTTTGGAGAGGCAGGTAGGGGTGGGATAACTGGACTGGTTTTTTGGTGAATAAAACATCACATGACAAAACACTTGGTAGTTTTTGCTTTTAAATTAATTTGTAATCAAAACCCAATAGGTTTGTGTCTTAACAGATAACCTTTAATTACCTTAAGGCTTAATTTATGACAGGATGACACAGACACATATATACATAATCGAATTTATGAACAATTTTACCTTTCTAAACTGAATACATTCCTTATGAGTTATATTGATGAAAGTAAATTTTTGGTTTCTCATGATCTCATCTGTGTATCATCATGTGATTATTCCTTGTAATCTAATACTTATGGAGATTTTATTTAATCTAATGCTCATGGACATTTCATGTAGGGCACCTGGAACAAATCATTCTACACTGTTTAGGTTGTTTAGGAAAACTGTAACTAGAGTTTTCTAAAAACTATAACGTATGATTGAGGGTATAGGATGTTATCCATGTGATTTTACTTCTGGATGTATCTCATATTTATTAATTTTAATTATAATTTTTTTTTGAGATGAATCTTTCTGTGAACTCCAGCCCAAGCTGGAGTACAGTGGCATGATCTTGGCTCACTGCAACCTCCACCTTCCAGATTCAAGCAATTCTCCCTGCCTCAACCTCCTGAGTAGCTGGGATTACAGGTGCCTACCACCATGCCTGGCGAACTTTTGTATTTTTAGCAGAAACGAGGTTTTGCCATGTTGGCCAGGCTGATCTCAAACTCCTGACCTCAGGTGATTTGCCCACCTAGGCCTTCCAATGTGCTGGTATTACAGGTGTGAGCCACTAAGACTGGCTTCATATTTAAATATGAAGGTGGTTACTGGGACTGTACCTTACCTGTCTTATCGGATGTCTCTCTGCTACGTATTAAAATTCAGAAAGTTAATCTTTTCCCTTTAATTCCTTTATCAAAAAGGGCTTATTGAGTATTTGCTGTGTACACAGAATGGTTCCTTTCACTCAGTAAACTTAGAGACTAGTTGAAGAGACAAACTTGCACAAATGTAACAAAGTGGTAAAATGCATTTTTAAAAGATCATAAGAAGGGAATTTTTGTTTTTACACAGAAGAAATATATTTAAAAGTAATTTTGTTTAGGCCAGGTGCAGTGCCTCATACCTGTGATCCCAGCACTTTTGGAGGCCAAAGTGGGTGGATTGCTTGAGCCCAGGAGTTTGAGACTAGCCTGGGCAACATGGTGAAACCCTGTCTCTACAAAAAGTTAGCTGGGCATGGTGGCACCTGTAGTCCCAGCTAGGAGGGACTACTTGGGAGGCTGAGGTGGGAGGATCCCTTGAGCCCAGGAGGTGGAGGTTGCAGTGAGCTAAGATCGAGCCACTGTACTTCAGCCTGGGCAACAGAGCAGGACCCTGTTTAA